ATTTTCCATCTTTATCTAATTATCAAATTTGGTTATTTGAAAATCCTATTAAAGGCTCGGCGCCTGTGGCTCAAGCAGCTAAGGCGCCAGCCACATACATCTAAGGTGGCGGGTTCGAATCCCCAGCCCGGGCCCGCCAAACAACAATGATGGCTGCAACCCAAAAAAAAAAAAAATAGCCGGGCGCTGTGGCTGGCGCCTGTGGTCCCAGCTACTTGGGAGGCTGAGGCAGGAGACTCGCTTGAGCCCAGGAGTTGGAGGTTGCTGTGAGCTGTGATGCCATGGCACTCTACCCAGGGGGATAGCTTGAGGCTCCGTCTAAAAAAAAAAAGAAAGAAAATACTATTAAAATGTACACTTGAAAATTGATAATAGTTTGAGAAAATTGCATCTCAGTTGAAAAGAAAGAAATTTTCAAGGATACTCACAATCCCTGAGGTTTTTTTCCTACAAATTAGAACTAGGTAGTTCCAGCCCTCTTTTTATCCTGTTTGTTGGTTAACTGGCAACACCCTGTGCCTTCTCCAGTTATGAAGAATTTTAATTTTCCCAGTGTAATTTTAAATTGCTGCTCAGACTGCTCCCTGCACATGTGGTTAGGAGAGCTGAGTCTTAGGAGGCCTCACTCTGCGGAGGGAGCCTGTACTTGTAAGGCCACATTTTCTTCATTGTGGCCTTTTGAATCCAAATTTTACACAAATCCTTTTATTAATGGACACATCAGAGAATGATAAAGCCTTTTTTTACCTCCTTAGTGCTTAAAAAGGAGCAGTCTTGAAATCAGAAGGCTGCAGGTTCCCCACCCCTGTTTGATGGACAGAACTGACACTTCATGATGTGTGGTCAGCGGTTCATGTGGGTGGAATTAAAATAGTGAGTCCTTCTCTGTCAGCTTCTGGTTTGGTCAGTATGGGGAGGAAAAGTAAAGCATTTGTTCTTTTTGGCTCTCCGTACTGAATGCTGTGCTGAATCTTAACTCACACTGTAAACCAGCAAGGAAAGCATTGCCCATTTGATGATTGTGAATGTTGAAGCTCAAAGAGCTGAGGAATGAGCCAGCACTGTGTAGCTAGGAGGCAACTAAGGAGCCTTCTCACCTGCAGAAAAGTTTTTGAGCATATCAGAAAGCAAGCTATTGTGTGTAGTATTTCAGTCTGAAAAAAAGAATTTTTCAGATGGATATGTGGAGTCCACCTTTTATGTGGAAAAGGAGCCGTTGAAGTCCAGTGGGTCTGGTCCTGGCCAATGGCCTCTTACTTCCTTTGGGGTTGGGTTGTTTTACCTTGTCGTGCAGACAAGATGCCACTTTGCACGTTAAAGTCTTAACACGTCTCTTTGCCACTGAACTTCTGCTTTACTGGGGATTCTCTCTATAAACTGTGCATTGACCCGGGCAACCTCAGTGGCGTTTCCTCTCCGAATTGACTTGATTAAGCACACGCAGTAAGTTTCTGCATCCTTGTCACTGGCCTGTGTGTTTTCCACATGTGTATTTCAAAGTTAAGATGTACTGTTGTGTGGTCATTCCCTTTTTGTGCTGTTTACAGTGGCCTCAAGACACTTACGCAACTGCATCATTTATAGGGGGCCAAGAGCTTTTAGATAGCAAATTAGCCAGAGGAAACAGGATTTTTTTTTTTTTAACAGTCATTGTATTTGAGTTTCAAAATTAAAACCCTGTTTATGTTGGGGCCATTTTTTTAAGCTTGAAGTTTGATGAGCTTCTCTAGCAGGAGTGTCCCAGCTGTTTTCTTTTCTGCTGCACGTGGGAGAAAGAGCTGTCTCAGCCACAGAGTAAATACACAAACACTAACAAGAGCTGATATGCCAAAAAGAGCCATCCATAATTTTCATGATATCCAACATCACAAATAAAGCAGTCCTCACACGATCCACATGCAGCCCAGGGGCATCAGGTTGGACACCCCTGCAAGTGTACAAATGTTCTTTAAAATCTGCTGGGTCTATATGTGATCACTTGTACAAGATGTAAACATAAAATATCCAAATCAAATACCAGAATATTAGCAAACTAAACTAATAGTACTTTTTCTTCTTGGTTCTTTAAATCACCACACAGTTTGACCAGGTATTCTTAGCTATAGATGTCCACTGTGCTCATTTGCATCTTGAAGCTAACTGGTCCCCTAGATCAGCAGTCCCCAACCTTTTTGGCACCAGGGGCCAGTTTCATAGAAGACAGTTTTTCCATTGATGGGGTGGTGGGGGTGGTTTCAGGGTGATTCAGGCAGGTTGCATTTGTAGTGCATTTTACTTCTATGATTATTACATTATAACATACAATGAAATAATTCTACAACTCAGCATAATGCAGCATCAGTGGGAGCCCTGTGCTTGTTTGCTTGTTTCCCTGAAACTAGATGGTCCCAGTGCTAACTCAGGGACCGCCTCAGCTCCACCTCAGATCCTCAGGCAGTAGAGTCTCATAAGGAGCCGCAACCTAGCTCCCACCCTCCCACCCCGCCACAGACGCAGTTCCTTTAACTAGTGTCTGGACTCTCTGCTGTAGTCAGCCCACAGTACTGGGCTGGGTTAAGAAAAGTGTGTAAAATAATAAATGAGACCCACCCAGCAGCAGTCCCCCTCCCGTGGTGCACATGCACGAGTAATCCTGCATAAAGGCAGAGTGTGTCACAGAGTAGATGCTGAATTCTTCATCCTGGAGTCTTCTTTAGAGTCCTGTGATTCTTACCCATTTCTTTTAGTTATTATGTTAACAAAGAATTTGTCAATATAGTGAGAGAGAAAATAATCATTTTATTTTAGCTAAAAAAAAAACTATATCATAATGTAACTTTTTTTTTAATTAAATGATAGCTATGTACATTAAGGCAATCATGGGGTACCTTTTTTAAAAAGAAATATGCATTTTACTATCTCAGCTCCTTAATATATCAATTTAAGTTTTCGTTTATTTCCCCTCTATCTTTTCCATTCAAACACATATTTTATATAAGTATTATAAATGTATAATTTTACATGTTTACTGTCATTTACATTTCACTGCATTTTTCACTGTCATAAATTTGTTTTACTTCATCTTCATAATTATACTATTTTAGTTGTTATTTGATGTGTTTTCTCATTGGTATGCTAGTATTTAACAAATTTCTTTTTGCTTGTGGGGGTAGGTTACTTTAGTTTTCAAAGTTAGACATAATGCTATGTATGACATCTTTGATTCAGGAATCCCACTGCTAAAATAATTCAAAAGACAAAAAGCTGCTCTACGCTCCATAAATAGTGTATATATATACATATATATATATATATATATTTTTTTTTTTTTTTGAGACAGAGCCTCAAGCTGTCACGCTGGGTAGAGTGCTGTGGCATCACAGCTCACGGCAACCTCCAACTCCTGGGCTCAAGTGATTCTCCTGCCTCTGCCTCCCTAATAGCTGGGATTACAGGCTCCTGCCACAATGCCCAGCTATTTTTTGGTTGCAGCTGTCATTGTTGTTTGGCAGCCCCGGCTGGATTAGAACCCGCCAGCTCAGGTATATGTGGCTGGCGCCTTAGCCGCTCGAGCCACAGATGTGGAGCCCACAAACAGTATATTTTATGATTTTTTTCTTTTTAGAGACAGGGTCTCACTCTGTTGCCCAGGCTGCTCTCTATAACTTCAGACTCATGAGCTCAAGAGATCCTCCTGCCTCAGCCTCAGATAGCTGGAATTACAGGAGCATACCACCATGCTCAGCTAATTTTTTAATTTTTTTTAGAGACAGGATCTCACTATATTGCCCAGGTTGATCTTGAACTCCTGGACTCAAGTGATCCTCCCACTTTGGCCTCCCAAACAGCTGGGATTACAGGCATGAGCCACTGCACCCAGCCTTAATTTTATGATTCTTGACATAAACTGTGGTTCAAAATATATTTTATCAGTTTATGATGCCAATAGTGGTTTCCTTGCATTAGGAGCTGTAACTTTAAAATATTGGCATATTTAGCAGCTATAAATGATGTTTTAAGTTTGTTTTCGTTTGTGTTTCTTGGATTAACAATAAGGTTGGATAATTTTTTCTCTGCTTATTTGCTATCAATATAGAGTATCATTTTCAGCACTGAGCTTTTGGCTATTAAAAAAGCATCAGATATGGTAACCTGCAGTATCTCAAAGGATATTTGTTATGGGTGTTAGATAGGATAGCATAAGTCTGAACAGTGCCCAAACCATCATAGGCACAAGTGCGTGTTTGTCTCTAGAGATATAAATGTGCAGTAGATTGTATTTTTTTTTTTTTTTTTGAGACAGAGTCTCACTATGTTGCCCTCAGTAGAGTACGGTGGCGTCACAGCTCCCAGCAACCTTGACCTTTGGGCTTAAATGATTCTCTTGCCTCAGCCTCCCAAGTAGCTGAGACTACAGGCTCCTGTCACAAAGCCCAGCTGTTTTTTTTATTGCAGTTGCCACTGTTGTTTAGCAGGCCCAGGTCAGGTTCGAACCCGCCAGCCTTGGTGTATGTGGCAGGCATTGTAACCACTATGCTATGGGTGCCAAGCCAGTATATTGTATTTTTTAGACCTTTTCTTTCTCTGTCTCAGGGAAATGAGAAAGTATACCTGTTTGTCTCATTTTTGAACATATTAAAAAAAAGTTATTTCACATAATTTGATGCAACTTTAGTATTTTCAAATGAATTGATAACCACATATAGGAGAAATTAGACTTTGAAATTTAACTGTTTTATGTTTTAATTATATAAAATATGTATATACTAGAGTCCTTAGATGCAATAGAAAAAAAATTGAAATTAATTACATTATTTCAGTTTCCCTGTATGCCTTTAAGTATAATAAAAAATGATTTTTGCTAATATTAATAAATTCCATTATTTTAAGGTTATCAAGATTACAAGACTGACCATGGAAGATAACTGATAAGATTTGGTGGGCTGTGTTGATTGAAAGTGTTTTTCTTCCTGACATAGGGACTTCAAAGGCACGTTGTATTGCTCTTGTTTTTTCTTCAGGTTAAAAAGGCCTTCTTTGCCTTGGTAGCGAACGGTGTCCGAGCAGCACCACTGTGGGAGAGCAAAAAACAGAGCTTTGTAGGTAAGCAGTGTGGGCCTGGGGCACCTAAAATGAGAAACCTTAAAAGCAGAAAGCCTGAAGTATTTTAATAGGTGTTGGTTTGGAATTCAACCTAGTAAACTTGTTACCAAATTACAGAACGTTCTTGCTTTATGCACTGGGTGAGGCGGGACTGCCAGGAAATTCAGAACACTGTTGTACTTTTATGGAATTCCTTTTTCCTTTTTTCTTCTTCTTTTTTTGGTTGAGTATCTTGTGACTTAGCAACCTATTTGGCTCTCTGAAGGAGCTTCTGTGCCTTTGCCAACTCAGTGAACAAAATCCACATTGGATGCCAGAGTGGCACGAGTTAGCTGCCAGTCCTAGGAAGCCCAGCATGCTGACCACCACCTGTGTATCTCACAGTTCAGCAGCGAACACTTTTTGTTCTTTGTGGTTTTGGTTTTTTGTTTTTTCTTGAGACAGAGTCTTACTCTGTTGCCCTGGGTAGAGCGCTATGGCATCAGAGCTCACAGCAACCTCAAACTCTAGGGTTTAAGCTATTCTCTTGCCTCAGCCTTCCAAGTAGTTGGGACTATAGGCGCCCGCCACAACCTCTGGCTTTTTTTAGAGATAAGGTCTCGCTGTGGCTCAAGCTGGCCTCAAACCTGAGAGCCCAGGCAATCCATCCACCTCAGCCTCCCAGAGCGCTAGCATTACAGGCGTGAGCCACCACGCCAGGCCTGGACACCTTTTTGGTGGGCAAATGGGATGGTCCAAACATGATGGATATCTTTGCTAAATCACTGGCATACTATTAAAAATATTGTGTGACTTTAAAGTAGTTAAACACCACCAATTCTCATCTCATAAATCATAGTAGACAATGGTATTATCTCTTAGGATTCCTGATGTTATTTTGAGAGTATCTTTTATGACTGCCTCCCTTTCTAGGTTATAATTTCCTCAGGGAAAATGTTCCTTTCTTGTTCATCTTTGTGGTCCTGGTGTCTGACACCATAAAGTCAGTAAATAGTGACTGTTTGTTAAAATTGTCGCTTCTAGAATGCTTCTTGGGAAATAGTCCCTGTGCCTGGAAGTGTCATGTGTCTAAAGCTTATGGAATACTTTATCCTGTATATTTCAAAGTATTATAAATTATTTACATGGAGCTGCAATTCTTCTTTAATATTCTATAACAATTAGTAAGTTTTCCCTCATTGATTTGCCAAATACTGTGATTAATTCCATTGTACTTACTGTCAGGTCTCATTTCAGCTAAATTTGTACATCTAGTCTGAGTAGACAGTTAACACATTAGTAGTTTTAAATAATATATTAAACTCTACTTGGTATCTTCAAAGTATCTTTTTACAAGCTTTTTCAGTAAATAGTATAGGTTCACTTGTCATTTGAAGTTTTTTCTTATGTTTTCCTAGTTTTATTTTATTTTCCTAGTTTTTAACACATAATTCTTTGTTCTAGGGATGCTAACAATTACAGATTTCATAAATATACTACATAGATATTATAAATCACCTATGGTAAGTGGCAGCAATGTTTCTGTTAGTCATTGGAGCTGTGTGTATATGTGTGTGCATAGCTATGTGTGGGGTTTAAAGCTTTGGGGAGGGTTAGTTTTCTTTTTTGGTATGGAGGTGGTGGTGTGGTGAATTTTCCAAATATATGTTTTATGCAGGGAACTTCAGTATAAAACTACTAATCCCAAGTAGACAGCTAGCTTTACCCTAAGTTATTTATTTGAAGCTTGAAGAAAGATAAAATGAAATAGCTCCTTTAATTCAGCCCTCAGAATTCCTTGGATTAGTGGAATTCTAGGTGCTTATTTGTTATTCAGATGTCTATAGTGTCACTGGATTTATGAGTTATCTTTTATCCTTTTTTTTTTCTTTTGAGACAGTCTCACTATATGGTCCTCGGTAGAGTGCCGTGGTCTCATAGCTCACAGCAACCTCAAATTCCTGGGCTCAAGCCATTCTCTTGCCTCAGCCTCCCTAGTAACTGGGAATACAGACACCTGCCACAACACCCAGCTATTTTTAGAGATGGTGTCTCACTCTTGCTCAGGCTGGTCTCAAACCTGTGAGCTTAGGCAATCCACCTGTCTTGGCCTCCCAGAGTGCTAGCCCTGGATAGAGTGCCATGACATCATAGCTCACAGCAACCTCCAACTCGGGCTCAAGTGATCCTCTTACCTTAGTTTTTCTATTTTTAGTGGAGACAGGGTCTTGCTTTTGCTCAGGCTGGTCTCAAATTCTTGAGCTCAAGCAGTCCACCCACTTTGGCCTCCCAGAGTGCTAGGATTACAGGTGTGAGCTACTTAGGAGTTATCTTTAATAGTATTTCAGGCACTGTAGTACTGAGAACCTGCTTCGAACTGTCGCCACAGGAGGCCACACCCCCACCAAACTCTTCTCCCTATAGTGCCCAGGGAAGGCCTCCCTCAAGATGGGATGACCCCAGGGCTCACTGCCATGGGGCAGAGCTTGATTCAGTTGTCCTGGCAATTTTATAGCAATAACTATATGTGCATTGTGATTTTAAAGAAGAAAAAAAGAGTAATTAAAATTGAAGAAATTCAATTTTGACATTTTTCTTCCAGTTAGGAAAAGACAGCTATTAGCCAATTGTAGTGGCAGAACTTTGGTCCAGTGTACATGGTGACTCACGCCTATAATCCTAGTACACTGAGAGGCTGAGGCAGGAGAATCCCTTGAACTCAGGAGTTCAAGACCAGCCTGAGCAAGAGCAAGATCCCATCTCTACTGAAAATAGAAAAAAACTAGTCAGGCATAGTGGCGCACGCCTGTAGTCCCAGCTACTTGGGAGGCTGAGGCAAGAGGATCACTTGAGCCCAGGAGTTTGAGGTTGCTGTGAGCTATGATGACTGACACCACCACACTCTAGCCCGCACAACAGAGCAAGACTGTCTCAAAAAAAAGACAAACATAGTGTAAAGTCTGTCATCTGCCTGCTTGGTTTTCTGTTTCTTTGTGAGGGTGAGGAAGCAAAGAATTATATACTTTGTTTAACTAGTAATGTTTGGGGTACCCAAAAGGTATAGTTAATCCACCATACCCAGCTGGGTTTTTTCCCATTTTTTTTGTAGAGATTGATGGGGGTCTTGCCTTGCCTAAGCTGATCCTGAACCCCTGGCCTCAAGCAGTCCTCCCACCTTGACTTTCCAAAGTGCTAGGATTATAGGGAAAAGCCACTATGCCCAGCCAAAAATGAGTTACTTCATAAGTAACTCTTAGAAGGAGGTTTTACCAAAGACTTGGTAAATATTGTGTATTTATTCCACATGAAGTTGGATTTCTTACATATTACCAATGCAAGTGAATTTTGGTTTTCCTTGGTCATATCCTTGATTTTGGACTAGCAAAATCAGCACAAGTATGATTTTTCAGTGGATAGATTTTGAAGCTGGGTATGGTAGTGCCGCTCTACTTGGGAGACTGAGGCAGGTAGATTGCTTGAGCCCAAGAGTTGGAAGCTACAGTGAGCCATGATGGTGCCACTGCACTCCAGCCTGGGCTACAGAGCAAGGTCTTGTTTCTAGGGGGGAAAAAAAATCAAAATAACTAAAAAGCAGTGTATATCTAAATATATACCCTAACGTTTTTCTTAATACTTGAGAATACATTTTTTCTTCCATGTTTTACCTCATTTTCTGTTTATGAAAATACTATTATGACAACCATGCTTTATATCGTTTTCCAAATATTTAATTATCCTATGTTATATATGCTGACATTTACAAATAAGAATTTTTCTTATTTACAGGTACAGATTTATGAATTAGAGGAACATAAGATTGAAACGTGGAGGGGTAAGCAGTATTGGGTGTTAAAAATCTTTTAACATCAGGAAAAAATGTTATTCTTAGTATGTAAAGTATGTTTTAATTTTGCAGATTCCTTTTCCTTAATAAAATGTTCATTAAAACATTCTATTTATTTCCATCTTAATTTCAGTAGCTTGTCATACTACTATAAATACTGTCCATCGTGTTTAATGGACATACAAGGCTTTATACCAGAGCTGGGAGTATGAAGATGAATGAGCTAAACAGACCCACAGTGCTGCCCCAGAGACACTGTTCACTACTAAGTATCACCCTCAGAAATTTGCCTTCGTACAGAAAATGCAACAGAGGCGTGCCTAACTGTAACAAGAGCAAGCATCTGTTAAACTTCATAATTCATTACAAATTATGGAGAAATACAGGACAAGTGAACCTTGAACCAGGTTGATGATTTAGAACATAAAACATGGAGACAACTTAAAGACCAGGTTCTTTTGTTTATCACATTCACTGAAATTCACCCTGTAAAATCACAATTTAATCGCAGTAGTGTGGCTGTTTTCTGCAGTGGAACCATTTTCAGATTCTCATTTCATGATTGTAGATTGAGGGAAGGTGGCAGTTGGTGGGAATCACTGCAGACCCAATCTGTCTGAAACGGCAGAGCCTTTGCCGGGTGTTCAAGGAAAAGCCCGGAAGGAAATGAAGGGACCAACCAGAGGAAAATTTTAACTTGAAATTGAGGAGTTTGGCCCTGCTTTCCATAACCGGCTGTAAAATTGGAACGTCCCTTGGAGTTCTCTAAAGCTCTTGGATGCTTTTAATTTCATAGGATTTAGAAGTTCCATTGAGTGATGTATTTGATTTATTATGGCTTTATCAAGGTGAACAAATTAAGTCAATGTGGGATCCATATGGCCTATAATAAAGTGATTATGGAACTTAACACCAAGACAGATACTTCCTAACAAATTCTACAAAATACAAAAAACAAATTACAAAATACTAGTAATATTAGACCAAGGTTTAAGTATATTTAAATTTTGACATTACATGGTATTTAGTAGTAACAATAACAGAAATATCTTTAAATGCCTTCTGCACAGAAACCTCAGACAAACAAATTAATTATAGTTGGTATCTTTAGAAAAGAAAATTTATATGCTAGAAAGATTCTTAAGATGTGGTTTTCATGGGCAGCACCTGTGTCTCAGTGGGTGGGGCGCCAGCCCCATGTATGGAGGGTGGCGGGTTTGAACTTGGCCCCAGCCAAACTGCAACAACAAAATATAGCTGGGTATTGTGGTGGGCGCCTGTAGTCCCAGTTACTGGGAAGGCTGAGGCAAGAAAATCGCCTAAGCCCAGGAGTTGAAGGTCGTTGTGAGCTGTGACTCCACAGTACTCTACCAAGGGCGATAAAATAAGACTGTCTCAAAAAAAAAAAAAAAGATGTGGTTTTCAGGACTAATTTGATAAGACAATACTTAAAAACAATGAAAGAACAAAGTTCATTATAACTGTTATTATCTTCTATCTTATGAAAATTAGTTTTAGAGGATCTTATAAATGTTTCATCTCTTGAGGGTAATATTAACTTGATAGCAATCTAGTGACCCCTGCTGGTATTGCTCTTTTGTCAGATTTCTTGATTTTGTTCCCTGATTCTAAAAGCATCTATTGGTATATTGGTTTTGTTTTTTTTAATTTACTTTTTCTTCAAAGGCAATATCCTGAAAACAGCTTGAAGGTTATTTAAAATATCAATAACTATAGTTAACAAAATAGGCAAATAAAATTTGAGGGTTTTTTTTAATCCTTCCATTATCAGGAAACTGTAGAGTATTTGAATGTATGTAATGACCACAAACAGCAAATATGTTACTAACTGCATATTTTCTTTCTATAAATACAGAGCTTTATTTACAAGAAACATTTAAGCCTTTAGTGAATATATCTCCAGATGCAAGGTAAACTTGTCATTTTTTTCCTTTAAAAGCATTCATTCAGATTTATCTGTTTTATTATAGTAGAAACAAACAAACAAACAAATTTGTTCTTTGAGAAAGGGCCGCCCCTTAATTCCAGATACACTGTACTAAATTCAGTACATTTAGGGACAAGAGAAACCACAGCCAATGTTGGTGCAAAGGAACATGGTCATAGCAAACAATCTTGCAAATCCAGGTCACCTGTAGCAGAATTAATCTAGGGAGCGATGTTAAAATTGCCGATTCCTGGGCTTTACCAGAGACCTACTAACTCAGTCTTTAAAGAGTAGTGCCCAGGAATATGCCTGTAAGCAACTCCCCCAGCAATTCTGGTCCACAGTGGCATTTAAAAGTCGAAAAATGAGTGTGTGTTAAACGTTGGTTCAGAGGCGAGCAAAAGAATGAGCCGCCTTCTCTGCAGCCTTGTGGTCTGTCCTTTCCAATTGAAGCCATCTGGGATGGCTCCGATACGTTTCCACATTTGTATAAAGACTATTACAGAGAAATAAAGTAAAGTATTTATTTTTATTGTTTTATTTCCAAGTCCTAACAAAAAGATACACACACACACCCCCCAAGCCTTCTTCCTGGCAATCAAGGAGGGGCACCAAGTAAAACAGAAGTGCTGGCCCTGTAGAATCTCGCGGGTGGGCCAGGGGCAGGGCCAAGTGGCTGGCTGACTCCGGGCTCTGCCGCTGCACTTTGCTGTTTACTGATATGGTTAGTCTGTTAGTTTTCCTAAGGACTTAGATTTTTGTCATCTTCCACATAAAATCACTAAGTGCACTATTTAAAAATTCCTCTTCTAGGGATTTGTATCTTACACTCAACTTTGAGATACATTAACACAGATTGTGAAAAATCAAATAATTTGCTGAGACCTCGAATTTAAAACTTTGCCAAAACACTGTTATTGTTTCATAAAAACATTGACTATGCTGTAGGGCAGGGGTGGTCCAAAGTTTTCTGATTTTTCTTTAAAGCCTCCTAACAACTTGAATGGCTTTTCCTGCAGCCTCTTCGATGCTGTATACTCGTTGATCAAAAATAAAATCCACAGACTGCCAGTCATTGACCCTATCAGTGGGAATGCACTTTATATACTTACCCACAAAAGAATCCTCAAGTTCCTCCAGCTTTTTGTAAGTAGTTTTTAGTGTTTCTAAAGACATAGTTGCATTTTCTTTAACTAATTTACTTCAGGTAAATTGGCTCCTGATACCTTCCATAGAGAAAATCATTAGTTTTGAGATTTCCCGTTCTAAACTTCAGTTTTTCAGCTTATTACTATTTGAATGGTGCATTTTCAAAGTTGATTCCAGCTAAAAAGCAATCACCTTTCAGTGCAAATATCAAAATTATAAAAACACTTGGCATTCTCTATTTCAATTAAAGCATTTTCTCACCTAACATATGAGGGGAAATAAAGCAATTTGCAAGTCAGCCCAGTTAAGAACTGTTGTGCAAGACAAATTGGGCCAATATCTAGATTAAAAATTGCTTTGTGATGCTTTTATTGGTGTCTTGGTTTTAGAAACATGTTCAAAAAAAAATACCATCCCCAGGATTATCTTAATATAAACTGCAGCAGTGATAGAAAAACCCAGAGCAAATAAAATTTTGGCAAGAGAATACCATGTTGGTCCAAATTACGTCTGTATTATCTGTAGGTTTTCTCAACTGCTCTTGAAATGAGCTGGTTTCATAATCACCCAAAACTTAGAACTCTTTGGTTGGCAGCATTAAAAGAGTCTCAGAAAGAATAGGGAGTTTCTGAGAAGGTTTTTATGTTTTCCTCTTAATTGCATGCACTGAATTTGAAGTTCTGAGTAATCGCTCACATAGAAACAGTAAAGGAAGCATTACTGGTTCTGAAGAGGTAATTTGAAGAGTCGTTTTTTAAAGAATGCAGTATTAAATATCGACTTCTGATTAGCTTCCCCATTTCCTTCTCCACAGCTCCATGTTCTAAAATAAAATAGGGTACTAGTGCAGTAGGGACGGGGGGTAGGCTCCTCCCCGGGAAGCAACCTTGAAGGCCCCTTTTGCTGACAGAAGCACAGAGGGCTTAGTCACTGAGAGAGGGACCTGGTCATCAAACCAGTCCTAGGTTTTAATAGTTTACTTAGGTAGGTAGGTAGCACAATGTGGTTAAGTAAATGCTAAGAAAGAAGGTAGGAAGGAGAAGAATGATTTATCGGCTCGGCTCCTATAGCTCAACCGGCTAAGGCGCCAGCCATGTACACCTAAGGTGGCGGGTTCGAATCCCCAGCCCGGACCCGCCAAACAACAATGATGGCTGCAACCAAAAAATAGCCGGGCGTTGTGGCGGGCGCCTGTGGTCCCAGCTACTTGGGAGGCGGAGGCAAGAGACTCGCTTGAGTCCAGGAGTTGGAGGTTGCTGTGAGCTGTAATGCCACGGCACTCTACCCAGGGGGACAGCTTGAGGCTCTGTCTCCAAAAAAAAAAAAAGAATGATTTATCAAAAATTACAAAAGCTGGAAGGTTAGTAAAGAGACAATCTCGGAAAAAGGATTAGAGATGCCTCAGTGTTGATACCCGGCTTTACAGCTGGACCAAAGTGGCCATAGTAGTTGAGCTTTCACGTGGGGTTGTGTATTCGGGCCCAAATGTGCCAGGCTTGTCACTCATTTAATCACATTAAGGTGATAGTAATCATGCCAGCTGACTACTGCGTGTCCAGCACTTGTCTGAGCTCATCACTTTATCCCCTCTTCACTACAACCCTATCTGGTAGGTATTTTTGTTAATCCTATTTCATAAGTGACGTGACACTAAGGGTGAGGAATCTTGCCAACGTTAGTGGCCCGTGAATGGTAGCACCAGCGTCCACACCCAGGATTCCGATCACACAGCCATCCTAGCTCTGCTCCACCTGTCCCTCGACTGGCCCTGTAAGGTGGGCATTTGTACCTCCTGAGGCACGTGAGATGCCTATCTCAGAAACATGACAAAGTCACACCGATATTAGGTGGTAGATTTCAAACCTGGGAGTCTCTCTGACTCCCCAGCCCAGACCCTCTGCCCATGTGCTGCTGCAGAAGAGGGGATAGGAGAGTGAGCTCCATCTTGCTCAGAGCTACTTTAGAATTCTCTTCTATAAAAAGTAGAGGAAATTGCCTCTGCCCAGTACTGCCTTATATTTGGGCCAATATGGTAATTAGAATCATGCTACCAGAATATTCAGCTAGACGTTTTCAGATAAAAATATAGAATTTAAATAAAGAAATTCCAGAGCCTGATTTTTACTGAATTATGAGATCATTTTCTGAGGAAAAAGTAGCACTATCCATCAAGACATTTGAAAATTAGCCTAAGCATATTGTATACAATGGGGAATTATCCTGTATTGAGACAGACTAGATGACCTAATGGGTCTCTCTTTTTTTTCTCTAAATTTCTAGGATTCTCATGATTTGAATATTGATGAACTCTTTGACTTGAACATTTTGTTTCTTCTAATTGTTCATCTTTTCCTGATAATTATAAGGTACACCAGGAGGATGGAATCAACTATACCCTTTATAAAAGGTGGATTTTTGAAACCATAAACCTTATTTTGTTATAGTCAAACATGATCCTACACTTTTCTCTTCTTATCCCTCCTCCTTTAAAACAGCCCATGGAAAAAAAAAGTTAATTTTTAAAGATTCTTTTAATTCTGATCAGCTGGCTTGTTCCTTGTTCTTAGTAGACAAAAATTGGAGTCCTCCAAGGAGAATTCAGAATGTAGAGATGGGTGGTGTGAGGACTAGCTGAGCAGCTGCTCAGATAGCCACCAGCAAATGTCTGGGTTCTTGATAAAGATGACTTAACGTTGACAGCTGGACCAGGAATTTAACGTGAACAATTAAGAATAAAGGATTCCATTCTTGGTGGCTTACAGGTCTTCACTTCCGAAATAGACCTGTTGTTCCCTTCTTCTGTCTGTGCTTTTAGTGAGTGAAGAGGCGAAGGAAACAGTCCAGTGTTACCACTTTGTAACATTTTACTAAGTAGTTAAACTAAGTAGTTGTAGACATACAACCGGTTTGAATAAAAGATACAATTCTTATACGTAATTTTGTCATATTAATTCGGTCATCCAAGTACACCGTTAGAAAAGACTAATTTTCGGATGTAGTTTTCACTCCATTCTGGACGTTTGAACGTTCAGGGGTATGGTTTAGCACTAGAGCATCTGTGTTCCTCTTCCACTCAGATGTCTGACATGCCAAAGCCTGCCTTCATGAAGCAGAACCTGGACGAGCTTGGGATCGGAACATACCACAACATTGCCTTCATCCACCCGGACACTCCCATCATCAAAGCCTTGAACATATTTGTGGAAAGACGAATATCAGCTTTGCCTGTTGTGGATGAGTCAGGTCTGTGTGTTTGGCCAAACCAGTTGAACAGAAACAACCATTTATCTCAGGGTGAAATTACTATGAAATGACCTGGCATATCAGACTGGGGGGCTGGGGGAGATGGAAATTTACATATGGTGCATAAATTCAGCACCAAAGGCACACACAGGATAACAAGAATTTTAAACTGGTTTACGTTCATATTTCTATTATGATTTCATGTCCATTTAAAAATAGACAAGATTATCTATCACCATTTAATCCTGTGTAATTACCTAATTAAAATTGATCTTAAGCGAGTTCTGTTTGGTTCTAAGACATTATTCTAATATATATTTTTATTTTTAGGAAAAGTTGTAGATATTTATTCCAAATTTGATGTAATTGTAAGTATTTTTAATTTTGTTAAACTCGTCATCTAGAATGCATTTTGAAATGTATTCATCTGTTTTTATGTTTTTCTCATTTCCTAACTTAATAATTCCTAATGTTTTTGAGTCTGAGGATGGTATCAGAGATTTCCATAGACCCTTCATTGTAATTATACTTTTATTATGCATTGGTTTAGCAGTGAATAATAGCTTAGTGGCAGTTTCTAATCCTTTGTCCTTTCAACATATGCATGTTCTATCCATCACTGCAGCATGAGTATGTATTTTAAATCATCGTGTTTCTACACGGGTGCCTCTTTCTTGTGCCTGGAGGCATGTCTCAGTGCACACGGGACTTGGTGGTTCCCACGCTGCATGCCTCCCATTGCTAGCAGCTGGGGAATGACTGTTCTAAAGAAGAAAAGGAATAGACTCTGATAGCCCCAAATGTGCACACCATTTTTTTTGCCACAATATTGACTCCTCTTCCATTAGCTTTTGCAGCTGACTCAATCCTTTTGATTCATTATATTCTGTTCAACATAATAGACATTGGGAAATATGTTTATTGATATTTTGGTTGAGTGGGACCCTCTATGTTAATCAGATCCCTGAGAAGCTGTTAGGATCCATGGGGCTGGGACTTGTCAGGCCTGTTCTTCCTCCATGGTCACTTGATCCCAGTGGCCCCCCCAAAGCCTTCACAGCAAAACCTTGTTCCCTGGTGAGCTCGTTGAGAAAGTCTATTGATGTAGGTGCTGTAGTCCTGTGGCCTTTGTCACCCTTAGCATCAGGGGTGTCCAACCTTTTTTTTCTTCTGTTGTGCAGTGGAAGAATAAGATTTGTCTTGGGCCACACACAGTAAACACACAAACTTATTCACAAAAAAAGAAAAAAATTCCATGCATAATTTTTGTGATATCTGACAAAAGAAACAAGATAACAAAAGAAAAGATAAACAAATTCCTCAGAAAATCAGCATGCAGCCCACCGTCCAAATGCTGGACACCCCTTATACACATTAGTCCACGTCTCCAAAGATTTTATTCACATTGACATGAAGCATTAGAGGGTGAGAGTGGGAGAAAGCTTTGTGCTGTCATAATTTAATACTATTGCCTCATACTTCAGATATACCTCATAATATGAAATCCTCAGTTATGATTGACGAGACAGTGACACAGCAGTACTGATGGCATATTATAAGCTGAAACAAGAGAACTTTGGACATGCAGTATTACTGAATTAACATAAACATTAAAGTTTTTAAAAATCAGGTTGTCTTAAGCTTACTAATTTCGGCCACTAACATGAATTGAAATGAAAGGCTGTAATTTGTTCTCTTTATTACAGAATCTTGCTGCTGAGAAAACATACAATAACCTAGATATCACGGTGACCCAGGCCCTTCAGCACCGTTCGCAGTATTTTGAAGGTGTAGTGAAGTGCAATAAGCTGGAGATACTGGAGGCCATTGTGGACAGGATCGTCAGGGCAGAGGTGAGGAGGCTCCTAGACTCCTGTCCCCCGTCACACTGCAGCAGCTACTAAGGGAATAGTGCCTGGGAAGTTCCAGTCACAGGAAAGGGCCCTCGAGGCAGCCTTCAGGCCAGCCGGTAGCATTCTGTCCCTGTCCCAGAACCTGGCATGCTATTTGGCACACAGTAGGAGATCCCTAAAGGTTAGTTGAGTTCAATGGAATTTATAAATCCTGATGTCCTAGTTGAATCAAATAAACTGGTAAGATATAGTCATAGTTTAAAAATAAATACTTGAGAAAACAAAAGCTTTCCTAGAAACTTTAAGTTCCATTAGAACAGTGGTTCTCATTAGAGTAATTCAGAGTTAAAAATGTGTAGTATGGGCTCAGCGCCTGTGGCTCAAGCGGCTAAGGCGCCAGCCACATACACCTAAGGTGGCGGGTTCGAATCCCCAGCCCGGGCCCGCCAAACAACAATGACGGCTGCAACCAAAAAATGGCCAGGCATTGTGGCGGGCACCTGTAGTCCCAGCTCCTTGGGAGGCTGAGACAGGAGACTCGCTTGAGCCCAGGAGTTGGAGGTTGCTGTAAGCTGTGATGTCACATGCTCTACCCAGGGGGATAGCTTGAGGCTCCGTCTCAAAAAAAAAAAATGTGTAGTATGTATGATCTTAATAAAAATGAGTGAAAAATCAGTAAAATAAAGCTTAATTTTCCCTTGCCTCTTTGCTGATTTAGATAAATAGTAAATGGTCTAGGGCGGCGCCTGTGGCTCAAAGGAGTAGGACGCCAGCCCCATATACCAGAGGTGGTGGGTTCACACCAGCCCCAGCCAAAAACTGCAAAGAAAAAAAAAAAAAAGGTCTGGTAATTCTCCATCTCCTGTCCCTCACCATTCATGTCCCCTTATGCTTCCTTGCTTATAGTTGGAGTTTGCCTTGTATAATACCCTAGATAAAAGACAAGAGAGACCATTTTATGGCATGTCTAAATCAGTATACCTTTTCCCAATAGCATTTCTTTTTCTCGTTAGAGAATAGGGATGTTACCTGGCATCACACAGCTGTCCCTTTCAACAGCTGTGGTTATTAGGAATCCACTTAGCCCCCCTTGACTGCATGTTTGAGAACTCCGCCCCACTCTGTCATTGTCTGTGTTAACTGACCAGCTTCAGCTTGCATGGCTTTTAACATGTTTCTTGTTTGTTTGTTTTTGGGTTTTTTTGCAGTTCTTGGCCAGGGTTGGGTTTGAACCCGCCACCTCTGGCATATGGGGCTGGCGCCCTACTCCTTTGAGCCAGAGGCACCACCCGCTTCTAACACATTTAACATGTTTCACTAGCATCTTTCCCTTTTTTCTACTCGAACTTAATATCTGTTGCTACTTGTTTCCCAGTGGGTTTTAATTGACTTAGGAATATATCTTGACTTTTTTCCTCATTAAAATTCTTCCACAAGATGACTTCTTACAGAGGGACAAAAACCAGATTTTAGCTTTAATGTAGTTGGAAGAAGGACATACCGTATCAGTAACGATTCCATTTATTCCTATGATGTGAACATAGCACTAACTTTTGGTACCTCAGGCAAGGAATATATAAAAGATTAGATGCAGCTACAAATGACAAAATGTTATTGGCAATCACTTTTATCTGGTAAAATTACTTAATTCTCTGGGTGAGATGGTTTCCCCTTGATCTTCAGTAGTTTAAAAGGTAGTTATTTAATTACTATCACTGAATTTTTCTTATTTTGTTATTATCATCACTGAGTGTTAACAAAATGCATAGTCTAGAATATAAAGCATTCTCTGATCCTACATGTAAACCATCATTTTAGTTTACAATTATAGTTCATAAATAATTCTATAGTATATCACAGGATTATTAAAGAACCTAAAAGTTTTTTAGAGAAAGTTGTAAAAGAAATTTATGTGGGCTCAGTGCCCATAGCTCACTGAATAGGGCGCTGGCCACATACACTCACACTTGCAGGTTGAAGCCCTGCCCAGGCCTCAACAATGACAACTGCAACCAAAAAATAGCTGGGCATTGTGCTGGGCACCTGTAGTCCCAGCTACTCAGGAGCCTGAGGCAAGAGAATCCATTAAGGCCAAGAGTTTGAGGTTGCTGTGAGCTGTGACGCCACCACACTCTACCGAGGGTGATATAGTGAAACTCTATCTCAAAAAAATAAAAAAATTACGTGGATTGCTGTGAGATGTCCAAGGGATTTGGGGTATTTTTGGGTTTGGTTTGGTTTTTACCTAAAACAAGCCATGATGTCAGAAACATTGCCAACACAGTATCATTAGAGACAAAATGTAAAAACAGAATTTCTCTCTCTCTTTCTGTCTCCTTCCTGTTTCCCCATTTTCTACCTGGGGTATAACTGTTCAGTACAGAGTGGATCTCCCTGGTAACCAGCGAGCATGTGGTTGGCACAGGCCTGAGTTCTAAAGCTTTTAAATCAGAATAGCAGTGATACACTCACTCCTTTCCTAAATCAAGGATGCTTTGTTAAAGTAATTCCTCAGAATGTTCTCCATTTATGAAATATTTTAGAGTAGAAAAATAAGGATGAATATAATCCATTTCACTTTATTATAGTTCATTTATCTACTTGGATATCATTCTTTTTTTTAATTTAAACTTCATAGAGAAAAGACACTACAGAAAATAAAAAACAATCTAAGAACAATGACCATATTTATTAGTTTCCATGCTCATTTAGACTTCTTTCCCATGTAAAACAAGTATCTGATAGTTTTGAACTCCTGGGCTCAAGTGGTTCTCCTACCTTAGCCTCCTGAGTAGCTGGTACTACAGGCGTGTGTCACTATGTAAAACAAGTATCTGATAGTTTCAAACTGGTCTTTTAAATCAGAACAGCAGTGATACACTCACTCCTTCCCTAGCCTAAGGAAAGGTTCCTAGCCTTAAGGCTAAGGTTCTCCTACCTTAGCCTCCTGAGTAGCTGGTACTACAGGCGTGTGTCACTATGTAAAACAAGTATCTGATAGTTTCAAACTGTTCTTCTAAATCAGAACAGCAGTGATACACTGCTATGTTTTACATTAGAAACCAAGATACACTTTAAAAAGGTAAAACTGTTTCAAGATAATATATGCTGGTCATGGTGGCTCACACTTGTAATCCCAGCACTCTGGAAGGCTGAGGTGGGAAGATCGCTTGAGCCCAGGAGTTTAAGACCAATATGGACAACATAGCAACCCCATCTCTACAAAAAAAATTTTTTTTTAAATTAGCCTGGGAGAGTGGCACCTGTGGCTTACTGGGTAGGGCACAAACCCCATATACCAAGGATGGCCAGGTTTAAGCCAGGCATTATGGTGGGCACCTATAGTCCCAGCTACTTGGGAGGCTGAGGCAAGAGAACCTTCTAAGCCCAGGAGTTGAAGGTAACTGTGAGCTGTGATGCCACAGCATTCTACTGAGGGTGATAAAGTGAGACTCTTGTCTCTAAATAAACAAACAAAAAAATTTAGCCAGGCAGCCCAGGCACTGTGGCTTATACCTGTAATCCTAGCACTCTGGGAGGCTAAAGCAGCAGGATCTTTTGAGCTCAGGGGTTTGAGACCAGCCTGAGCAAGAGCTAGATCTGTCTCTACTAAATAATATCAGCTGACCATCGTGGCAGGCACCTGTAGTCCTAGCTACTCAGGATGCGGAAGCAGGAGGATCATTTGAGCCCAGGAGTTTGAGGTTGCTATAAGCTATGCTGACACCCTAGCACTTTACCCAGGAGGACAGAGTGAGACTCTGTCTCAAAGAAAACAAAAATTAGCCAAGCATAGTGACACACGCCTGTACTACCAGCTACTCAGGAAGCTAAGGTAGGAGAACCACTTGAGCCCAGGAGTTCAAAGCTGCTGTGAGCTATGATTCCACTCATGCACTCCAGCCTGGGTGATAGTAAGACCCTGTCTCTAAAAAGAATTAAAATTTTTTTAAATGTATTTAATTTTTAAAGAATATTATAGCTAAATTTTACTATTATTTTGAAATTTGAAAACTCAGCAGGACACAGCTAGCTCATTTTTCTCAGAAGTTGTCAAGCAGATTAGCAGTGCATTTTAATATTAGAGCCAAAGATTTTTTTTTTTTTTTGCAATTTTTGGCTGGGGCTGGGCCCAAACCCGCCACCTCCAGCATATGGGGCAGCCACCCCACTCCTTTGAGCCACGGGCACTGCCCAGAGCCAAAGATCTTTATGTGGCTCTATCCATGGCTGCTCTCTCATTTGTGGATATATTCATCATACAAGTATATGAATGACATTTTTTCCAGTGTCCTTTTTTTTTTGAGACAGTCTCATGCTGTTGTCCCAGGCTAGAGTAATATGACATCACAGCTCACAGCAACCTCAAACTCCTGGGCTCAAAAGATGCTCTTGCCTCAGCCTTCCAAGTGACTGGGACTATACGTGCCCACCACAACACCTGCTAGTTTTTCTGTTTTTAGTAGAGATGGAGTCTCGCTCTTGCTTAGGCTGATCTCGAATTCTGGTGCTCAAGCAAATCACCTACCTCAGCCTACCAGAGTGTTGGGATTACAAGCGTGAGCCATCACTCCTGGCATAGTGTCCATTTTTAAACTTAACTATTTTACTTTCACATGTGACCTTCTTTTCTCTTCTCTGTAGGTCCATCGTCTGGTGGTGGTCAATGAAGCTGACAGTATTGTGGGCATTATTTCCCTGTCAGACATCCTGCAAGCCCTGATACTCACCCCAGCAGGTAGAGTGCTGAGAACTGACCTGCGCAGTCAGAGTCTGGGAGGGTGGGAGGGTGGGAGGTAGCACAGTTAAGTGCTGCATTTAAATAGGCTTTTCTCCACCATCCATGTACACATCAAGGCTTTATGTGCATTAATTAGTAAACCATTTCCACTTTCGTTTCTATTTTAAAGTTATAATGTTCTCTTTGGGTGAGAAGGGCCCATCTGTGCCCAGGAGTACCTAGATGATCGGGCACCCATTGCCATGTTCTTCATAACCTTTCCCATGAAAGAGTTAAGCTTTGCTTTATTGGAGGGCTACCAGCTGGAAAGCACAAACAGACTTCCTTTGGGTTCATCTATTAAAACCTTCATCTTTCCCTTAGAAAAGAAGAAAGACAGACAAGTGTTCTGAGTATATAAAATAAAATACCTCAACACAAATATTTCTCCATTGATACCATATGGAAATTACATTAATTACCAAATGAAGCTGTGGCTAACCTCATCTTCTACCAGATTCACTTTGAGCAAGCTCTCAAGATCCCAGATGGTTAGACATTGAGGAGCAGAGATAGGAAGAACCGGCCTTTCTCTGGTGTCACATCTTTGGCCTTCAGAGTTCTTAAACTGCCAGCCTTACCTGCCTTCCTTCTTTCCTTCCCTCTTCCTCCATTCCTCCCATTCCTCCCCTCCCCAGCCCTGGTCAAGTAGGAACAACCCAGCCTTTGACAGGGCCACACAGACCTAAGTCCAAGATATGAAGCTACATAGCATGTCCTTTGAACTCTCAGAGGTCAGATATTAAATAATGCATATACTACAGTATTGATTTTCTTCAGTTCAGAAATCAAACTCAGCTAGGACTAGTGTTTATAATTAGTCTATAACCTAAAAATACCCACTCTAAAGAAAACTTCACCACCTGCAAGAAACATGTCTTACTCACCAAACAAGAATACCAAGAGATTGCAGTGGAGCAGTGATTTTCACAAGTGCTCCTCAGAATGTTCATTTTGGGGGCCCCACCCCACATCTGCTGGATCAGAAATGGTAGAGATGGGGTCTGATGAGGTCATTTCCAACTTCAAGTGTCAAAGAACCTGAAACTCAGAATAATCTTTATGATCATGAAATATTAACAATATGAATGTGAGATTGTTGGTCTTATTATTTGTATACCTAAAACTGGAAATAATTCAAATATACATCAAAAGAAGGATAGATAAATTAGGTATATTCATTCAATGGAATACCGCATTGAAAATGAACAATGTAGGCTGGGCACAGTGGCTCACACCTGTAATCCTGACACTCTTAAGAGGCTGAGAAAAGAGGATCCCTTGAGCTTAGGAGTTCAAGACCAGCTTGAGCAAAAATGAGACCCGTCTTTATTGAAAATAGAAAAATTAGCTGGGCATAGTGGCAGGCACTCGTAGTCCCAACTACTTGAGAGGCTGAGGCAGAGGATCACTTGAACCCAGGAGTTTGAGGCGGAGGCTGTGGCCCTATAACCCTGGTGACTAGACAAGGACTCTATCTGAAAGAAAGAAAAAGGCAGAGAGGGAGGGAGGGAGGAAAGGAAGAAAAAGAAGGAAGAAAGGAAATGAACACTCTAGCTATATTCAACAGTGGAGGAATCTCACAAGTGTGTTAAGCAAAGGAAGCCAGACCAACCTGCACGATGCAGCAACATGTATATAACTTTCTAAGCAGCCATAACTATACAGCACCTTCATACAGTTAGGAAAAGGCCTCTTCTCGGGGCAGATTTATCCCCGCAGGCATAACTTGGCACCTTCAGAAAAAGATACCCTTTTTCTGGTAGGCAGCCATGGACCAAAGCACACAATTTATCTCGCAGTCAGGCTGACTTTCAGCTCCCATCTGTCCCTTTGGCCAAGATTCTTTGGTCACTACAAACTCAGAGTAAACAAGTGATTTATTCTCTCTTGCCTCGGTGCCTCAGTCCATAAGAATGAGAAAGTTGGACCAAATGAGTTCAAATCTCCATCCAGATTGGATATTTCAAAAATTCCAAGTCAGTGCAGTGCTCCTCCTATCTCTTGGTACAGGGAAGAATCAATTTCCAACTGAAGTTTGAAACGTACGTTACCATAGAAATCATGCCATAAAGATAGGGAGGCTGGATTGGAACTCTTTATAACACAGTGTATAGAACACTGTTTGTCAAGGAAGAAAGCATTCTGTGCTCTCACACCTGGATGACAAGTGAACATGGTGTGGAATGCATTTGGGACTCAGGCGAGGCCTGCTCCTGATCTACAGCACTGGCCCTGTCCCTGCATGCTCGGGGCAGCACCACAGGAGCAGCCAGTGAGGCCAGCACTGTCGGTCCCCGGCTGGTTCCACCACCGGAGAGCTGCTGAATATGGCCAAGTTACTTCACCTGGGTTAGCCTCGGTTTCTTCTACAGAGTGAGCAGGCTGCTGAAGGTCCATTTCCCTCCTAAGATACCACAAGATGAAATGAAAAACTTGAGTGAAAGCTGTTAATGCACAGTAAAGCACTGTGCCCAGGATAAGCACTGCCAGGTGGATATTTATGGAATGATCAGTAAGAAGCACTTTTTAGAAGTGTCTGTGATCATGTGATTAAAAGATACTGGTGCTGATTGTTTTCACCAGCTAATTGCCACAATTCGCTCATTAAGGTTACTGGTTCAATACAGGAACATTTTCTCTTTTTCAAATAGCTTTCCACAAGAGTTCACTGTCGAATTCAGACTGTCCAAAGGAACTTAAGTATCTACGCAGGCATCTAATGAGTAAGCAATCTGATAACAATAGCTATAACCTTTTAGCCACTTATTCTAATAGATTCTTAATCTCTTTTGAAAGTCTAATGTCTGTTGGAAAAATAGAGAAACCACTCTGATGAGAAAAATAGTAGTTCTCCCTTCCAACCCATTTTGAAATGTCCTGGCCAGATACTTGCAGGTATTATGTGAAATTATCCTTAGAAATGTTATGATTTTTACATATAAGTCTGCACAACTGAATTACTTTATACATTCTCCAAAACATTATCTACACATTTCTTTTTAGATTTTTTTAGCAATGGAACTTTTTTTTTCTCTTCATTGAGTCTTACATATTTAGAACGTAGATCAGGACTCCAGGCCTGGCAAGTGGGAGCAGGAGAGGGAGAGGGCGTGGGGGGCGGGGGGCCACCTGTCTTTCCCACTCCTCCCTTTTCCGAAGCCTCTGGGCCATTCTCCCAAGGAACTGCTTGGCACAGGGTGCCAACTACTGATGTAGAGAACCCTGCCATCTGCCTGAGCATTGAAACTTTCCTTTTCCATCCCACTGACAGGTGCCAAACAAAGGGAGACGGAAACAGAATGACCACCGTGAATGTAGACACCCTCATAAGAGAACTTGAACAAAGTTCCTGGGTCACATTTTGCCTCATGAACACTGGCTGCAATAGAAGAGAGTAAAATGGTTAAGAATGTATATCGGGGTTTAATAATGGGTATTTTTTCCAGTGATGTTGAAACTAAACATAAAAAAAAGAAAGATTTTTATGTGCTTGAAGATTCAGGCTTGCATTAAAAGACTGTTTTCAGACCTTTGTCTGAAGGATTTAAATGCTGTATGTCATTAAAGTGCACTGTGTCCTGAAATGTTTATTACTTTTCATTTCAAAGAATTCATTGGTGTCGGACAGGTGATGTGACATAAGGTGGGCGCACGGCGTGTCGGATCTCAGTGCCTTATGTCCGGACACAGCAATACGCCATCACCCGCCCGCTGCAGCTGGAGCGCACACGTGTGGAGCCACACCGAGCTTGAATGTGGAAGTCTTTGAACCTTTTACCAAATCAGTTTGTTTTCATTAGATTTGTCAAAAAGTTGTAATTTGAATATAAGTAATTACTTTTAAAACTTTAATGACACTTTTATGTTTAAGTGTTCTGTTCTAAGCTACCGTGTAAACAGGGCTGCTTTATAACAGCTTTATTTATTTTTACTTTCATCCAATTTTTACACCTCTTTTGGTGGTTAAACTTCACCGGATCCATTAATAAACTCTCAGCTGTTATTTTTAAATGGCAGATTTCTCACTACTTAAGTTTGGATCTGGAAAGGATATGGTTTTTAAAATAGCCACCATTGGGTTTTAGAAGCAGAGGTTTCTAAGAGCACGTGGGGAGACAGGCTGTGGTCAGGAAGAAGCCAAGTGCCGGGAAGATGTCTATTTTTTTCTTGTGTATTGAAATGTAAAATCATGATATGTGTATGATTGCTGATGCGATTGTTTTTGTAAATTTTATTGTGGCATATACAGTATTGTCATATGGTTGAAGAGAAACAATGTTTCTTGATGTAAGTGCTCTGAAAATGTTGACACTGTATATACATATGAGGATAGTTTGGTTTTTTGTTCTTTGGTTTTTTTTTCAGATTGAAAAATTAAAATAAATCCTACTATCTACCATTGTTTTAAAGAGGTTCTTTAAAATACTTTATATTTCAGTACATATTAAAATCCTACATCCACTTTTCCGTTTAGATCTTCTTCCTCTTATAAAGCAGCACATAAATTTTCATCTCCTTGTTTCCACCATCAAAATTAAAACTTTAATAATTTAATCCATAAACTCTCTATCTCTCCATTATTAAATATGAACATATTTCATTAAAAATTACCACAATTTTCTTGTGCTGAGGTGTCAATTTTTTCATTTCCCTCTAGACCAAACAGGAGAGAGAGAACATATGTGGGTGTTTTCCCCATAGAAACAAGAGTGGCTGTAATTTAAACTAATGGTAACATTTGGGAGAAAGGAAAAAAGTCACAAAGCTGCTAACACAACACAGTTTTTTGTTTTTGTGGGGGGTGACAGAGTTGGCATCAGAGTTCACAGCATCCTCAAACTCTCCTGGGCTTGAGGAGTCTTCTTGCCTCAGCCTTCTGAGCAGCAGGGAACAGGCATGTACCACTATGTCCAACTAGTTTATTTTATTTCTTCAGTAGAGACAAGGTCTTACTCTTGCTCAGGTTGGTCTAAAATCCCTGAGCTCAAGCTATCCACCCTCTAGGTTTACATAAGTACACTCTATGATGTTTGACACATTTCTGAATGCATCCTGGTTGGTAAGCAATGCATGACTGTGACTACATAGCATATACAGGTATACAGGTGATGTGGCATTGTATCTTTGCTTCAGAAATGGTTTGAGGGCCACTTAGAAATACAATAGCCATGGCTCAGCACCCACAGCTCAGTGAGTAGGGTGACAGCCACATACACCAAGGCTAGCAGGTTCAACCCCAGCCCAGACCTGCTAAAACAACTATGACAACTCCAACCAAAAAATAGCCAGGCATTGTGGTGGGTGCCTATAGTCCCAGCTACTTGGGAGGCTGAGACAAGAGAATCGCTTAAGCCCAAGAGTTGCAGGTTGCTGTGAGCTATGACACCACAGCACTCTACTGAGGGCGACACAGTGAGATTCTGTCTCAAAAAAATAAAATACAGAGAAAAATACAATAGGCTTTTCTATTTCTATGAGGTGCACATCAGATTTCTGGTCTCCCATAAATGTACTTTTGCAAGGTTTTCAAGGTGTGTAGATGTGTCGGGCACACCTAATCTTGCAGAAGACCTGCATGTGTGGCCTGGCTTTGGAGAAGCTTCTTCTCATTATTAGACCACAAGAAAGACCTGTTATCCTTTTTCCAATTAAAGGTTACCATTTATTCCCAGAACATGATAAGGACTGGTTGTGCTAAGTGTGCTCCTCAGTGCCTTTCTCAGAATAAGGAAAGGGGGCACTTAAAGAAGGCCAAGTCTAATGAAAGGCCAAGTGTTCACAATATTTACTGAAGGAAAGGTTTGAAGAGAATCTTATGATTCTAGGTATAAAAACCCACCTTAGAAATGCTTGCTGGACCAGTGAGCCCCAGACCTGTTTCCCAGCCTCATTAGTTGATGTTCTTGGGGCCCCTGTCCTGTGTGGAGAAGCCAGCAAGTGCCCTCAGCAGGGACCCCAGCCCACAGTCATGAGGAGCTGAGGTGTCTCAGAGGATTGTTGTGAGCATTAAGTGGGTGATGAAACAAAGCAAAAGCCTGTTAGAAATACCATGTCTGTTCTCAAAATTAAGGACAATGATTCTATTTAGTATTGTAGTTTCTTGGGGAAGTTTATAATATAAATGTATTGAACTGATGAAATTTCTTACAATATTTTCTTCAAAAAGCATTTACATGAGCAGTTAGTCTTCTAAACCAGTGGTTCCCAGGGGAGATTCCGTCCCCCAGGTACATCTGGCAGTGTGGAGACGTTTTTGGTTGTGAAGACTGGGGGCAGGGCATGGGGGTGTATGTGCTGCAGGCATCTGGTGGGTTGGACCCAGGGGTCCTGCTGAACTCCCCACTGCACAGACCAGACCCCATAGCAAAGAGGCCCAAAATGTCAGTGTTAAGGTTACAACCCCTGCCCTAAACAATCAGAATCTTCCAGGTATTTTGGTGATCCTCGTTATTTCCTGAGTCCACCTGTCTTTGGAAGAGAACCTTAGCAGCCAGCCTTTCTGGGAAAGGGGACAGTGGAAATTAACCACACAGAATTCCATATGACCCTTCTCAAGATTTTCTTCCAAAGCATTTGTAACAAAAAGGGAATTCTGCTCTGTATAACTGCACTCTCAGGAGAAAATTCCTACCCATAGGGAAATCCTTGAAGAGTAGTAAATTTTACTCAGTTATTCTACTTTTATAAAGAAACAAACTCCAAAATTATTTTTCATAAAAAATTACCTGCAAAGGTGGCACATTTGTTAAGTCTACACTATGGTTAAAGCACATTCTCACTGAACCCCTAAGCTTCCCTCTCCTTGTGGATACTCACAGACCAACCTTATTTCTTGGACTAAACACATTACATGAAAGGATGTCCAACCTTTTGGCTTCTCTGCACCACACTGGAAGAATTGTCTCGGGCTACACATTAAATCTGCAAACACTAACAAGCTGATGAGCAAGAAAACGGTATGTGTATAATGTTTGTGATATCTGCCACCCCAGATAAGCAAAAAAGTTCTCACATAATCTGCAGGCAGCCCCCAGGCTGCAGATTGGACACCCAAAGGTGCTCCACAGGAAGGTCTAGAAAAATCAGGTACCCACTTCTCTAGACAGCTCTGAGAAGGGAGCCTTGCTGCCCTCTGCCTAGGAGAGCCTTGCAGAGATAGGAAAAGTCACCGAAGCTTACCCTGATTTCAAGCCTGCGTTTTCCCTCCCTGGGAATCTTCCAACAAAATCCGCTGATTTCCTGCTCATTAGAGTGCACAGTCCTGCCTGGGCCTGTCCCGAGGGCCCTATAGTCAGAAAACAAGCCCACAGGTTTAAGCATTTGAGAGCCGCAGCCCCTGAGCTCGCCTCTGTCCCTCCATTCCTCACTCGGTCACTCACCAGCACCTTTGGCAGAACCGCGTGTGGGCAGCACCACGCCACCAACCAGAAACGTATCACAGAGACCCAGGCGAACTCCTGTCACTTCCCACCGCCCCTCCCAGACCCCTCGCGTCCTTCGCGTCAAGGCCGCATCAGCCCCAGCTTCCAGGCCTCCCTGGTGGCCGGCAACCTTGCCCTCCACGTCGTCCGGAACACAGGTTTGTCCTCTGGAGAACCTGGCTTATTCTGTTGCTTGTTTGCAAGGAGATTTCATCAAAACCTCCAGGTTTCTGCTTCCCTGAGAACTCCGAGGAGCAGGCAACACCAGGCCCACCTCTCCACCCTGCTGACCCTAAGACAGACAGGTGCCCAAGTTGGGCAGGTGCTGTTCTTGGCCCCAGCCATCTGCCTCGCTCTTGCGCGCCCTCCGGTCCCCGCGGGAACTCTGGCTCCGCGGGCCCGAGGCCGCAGGTGCACGGGGTTAAGGGCGGCGTCGCGGATTCACGCCTGCCCCCTGCCAAACTGCGCGCCTGGTGGGAATAACTGCACTCTCAAAAGCCGCGCCTTGAGCTTCTGGCCCACCACTACCGAGTCACTCTTGCGCCCCAGTGGAAGCCCGCAGCGCGGGTGGCCTGAGGAGGTGTGAGAAGGGCCCTGCCCGGGGCGCCCACCCCGACCGTCCCTGCGCGCTGGACGCGCCCTCCGCAGCTCCGCGTGGCCTCCGCCGCCCGTCGGGGGTGGGGGACAGGGCGGCTCTCGGCGGGGCCCGGCCGTCGAACGCCAGGGTCGGCCTCGCGCCGCCCACCCGCCTCGCATCACCTCCTGAACACAGCCCTCCCCGCCGCGCGCAGTCGGCGCCCCCGAAGGCGGGACTCTGGGCGCTGAGGCGTCGCCTCCTCCCCGGATCCCTGCTCAGACTGCGGGATCAGGCGGGCCGGGATCTGTTCCGGGCCCCGTTAAGTAACACTGGCGAGGTGTAACACTGACAGACGCCGCCTTCCACTGCGCTCCCCAGCCCTGCCGCGCTCCCGGCGCTAAGCGTCGCAGTCACTCCGCTCTCTCCTGTGACTCCCTCCCAGCCTCCGGAGGCGGAGAAGATTTCCCGCTTAGCGCTGCCAGGCACCACCAGGACAGTGGAAAAAACCCTCACCTTGCTGAGCGTGGGTTTTCGCATCCGGAAAGTTGCAGAGAGGGAAAAATGTAAATGTGTGCGCGCGCATCGTTTGTTTACGTAAGGACGCCTTATAAACCTGAGGGACCAAGAAGTAGTAGTCATTGCCGTTGACACGGTGGTCCCCTCCATCCTTCAAGGAGGGTAACAATATCCCATTCATCTCCTATCCTCTCACCTTGGCAAGGACCCGGCACAGCACGTGCCATGGCTGGCTGTTCGGTGTTTGAGGCGTGGCTGGCAAAGGCCAGAACACCCGCTAGGGTCACCAGGTGGGTGAACTCCCGGTCGCACGAAGCTTTGCCCTCTGTATTGCCAGTTTACTTGATAAAGTTAGACAGATGCCACATAATGAAGGGAGGAAAAAATAAGGTAGAGCAATGTAAGCTCTAGATTCTAGAGCGTCACTGTTTCCTTTTCCCAGAATGTTCCCCCAGATATCAGCTAACTCCCTCACCTCCCTGAAATCCTGCTGAAACCTCACCTTGATGAGGCCTGTTCTGGCCACAGACTATTAATGATTCTTACTAATACAAACAAGAACACAAATAAAAATAAGGGGAGGAGAAAAAGCTACAATCACTAAGAGTTTTTCTTGCCAGGCACTCTGCCAGATGCTGTGTATATGTTTTTATTTTCATTATTATATTTTATTTTAATTTTGAGGCTAGGTCTTGCTCTGTTGCCCAGGGTGGAGTTCAGTGCTGTCATCACATCTCACTGCAACCTCAGACTCCTGGGCTCAAGCAATCTCCCTGCCTCAACCTCCCCCAGCAGCTGGGACTACAAGTTAGAGCCACCACACCCATCAATTTTGTTTTTTATTAGATGTAGGGTCTCCCTATGTTACCCAAGCTGGTCTTATAA